GCCCTCAGTCCCTGTGGAGCTGTGTCCAGGCTCATCTGTACCTCTTTAACACCCAGCTGGAGCTGGGAAAGTACCTGCTGTGCTCTTTTGGAGTATGCTTAGAGTTACGATGTTTTGTATACATTTTTATTAGTTTCCTATTCGCAGCTGATCATCATATACCTTTTTTTCCTTTAAAAGGTATGGGGGAGGTATTTGTTGAATTGTTTAATGTGGTACTTGTACTGTCCATCCAGTTACTGGGCTGTGTGATGGGATGGCCATTGTGCTAAGGGGATACTGGCACTGTCTGAACTTCAATTTCCCATACTGTCTATGAGGCCAGCACCTAATTTAGGTCCCTTAATCACATCACACTGTTTTGCACGGAAGAGGTCTATCTCCTGGCTTAGCACCAGGCACAGACCTCTCTGGTCAGGTCTGTGTGTCCTTCCACCCTAGACAAGGCAAGGCAGCAGGTACTGCTCCTGGATAGAAACCCAAGCTTTGTTCCTCCCTACCACTCAGCACATCTCCAGAGAACCCAAGGGCAGTTTTGTTCGCCTCTTACTCCGTCTATTGTCTATCTTGAAATCTGTGAAGGTAATACTGTACAGTGAGGTTGGTGAAGGGTAAATGATGGTAGTTTAAAAGTAGATTTCACCTGTGAACAGCTCTTCCAGGTGGTATTTCCAGAGCTCAGTGGCCTATCAGGGCTTAATGGCTGGCTGAGTTGTTCCTGATGATGTTTCATGTGTTACAGCATCAGTGCTTCTGTAGTAAAACATCACAGTAACAGTCAACCCTCTCCCCCTTCATCTGTCTTTGGCCTGACAACTGTGGTGACATGGGAAACTACTTCAGCATAGAGGCAGGCAGCTGTGCCTCTGGCCAAGCTAGCAGTGGGATGTGATCCAGGTCCGGAGGGACATGGCAGGAGCCCTTCCAGGCAAAGCAACCACCACCATCAGCTAGATGAGTGTTCTGGCAGGTGCATAAACGGTCATTGACATGAACTGCTTTGATGGTGGGGGATTTCCAGCAGCAAACCTCTTGACTCTTCTCCCTCTTAGCATCAAGACCACAGGATGTGGTATGCTTTTTCTCATCAGTGTCTGTCTTGGTGTCAAAGGATGGTTGGGGCTCAGGGCACTAATGCAGACTTGGGGTTGGGTACAGTTCCTTGAAGTCTCCAGCAGAAAGAATCAGAGAAAGAAGCTCCATTCAAGTGGGTAGGCTTTGCTTTTTTAATAAGAGTAGGTGTTTTGCACAACCTGCTTTCTAACCCATCCTTCTAGTAGTCCTACACTTAGGATCTGTCCTTGAAGGCAAGCTAAGAGAGGGTAAAATGCACTGCTTTATGTTGCAGAGTGTATCAGGGCATGTATGTACGATGTGTGCTTGCACACGCAGCAGCATCCATGTGCCAGGTGAACAATGCGTCTCCAGCTCTGCTCCCTGTGAAACGAGTCCCTCTTCTTTCCCTTAGCATTCCTAGAAGGATTTTGTGTGCTGCTCTTTATAATGCAGAATATGTGCTGCTCTGATTAATTTTTTTTTTTTACTTCTGATTATTCAGTACTGCACATAAACAGGTGTGCATATAGAAAAGTGCCCCCTGTTAATCAGGAACTGTTAAGCCATATGGCATGTGAGGATAGAATATTACAGCTATGGGATGAGAACCTCCTGTTCAGCAACGAGGTTCACATGCAGCGAGTACAGTGTTAATACATTCTTGGCAATGCTGTCAGTTCCATCATCTGGCAAGTCAGCCTAAGTGATGGCGTGAGTTTCTGGGGTGTCCCTTCTCCGCTGAGGTCCTGCTTCTGTTAAGTCAGTGCCAAGAGCTTTTCTTCCCATTTAAAAACTTTGTAAAGGTATGGGTGAAAAAGCGGAGGATGCTCTGAGCTGCCTGTACTGCATTGATTGCTCTTAGATATTGTAGACACAGTGAAGATGCAGTTGGCCCTATTGCATGTCCAGTGGTATTTTCTTTGCCCAGTTTCTTTTAGTGACCTGTCTCTCAGAGAATCACAAGAGTAGGAAAGTCCAAGAGGCTTCATGTATCAGGTGCAGTGTTGTGACCGACGTGCTCTAATGTTGTGAGTGCCCAAGAACAGGGTGACATCAAGTGTTGCTGCTGCAAGTGATCAGTCCATAATACTGAGAATGACCATCATAACCAGTAAATGAGAGGTTTCCAGCATTGTTTGCCATTATGAGTAATTGTTCTAGTTTGCATCAATGTATCAGAGCTGAAAACAAATTCAGAAGGTCACTTTTCTTTTGTTTGTGTGATATTTTAACAGACTCGAGGTACCTAGAGATTATTCTTGCCTGAGGCAGCCTGAGATGTGGGAAACACTCTAATAGACTGTTGTTTACAGGTAGTTACTTCAAAAACACTTTAATGTGATACTGTGCTATCATAACTGCCATCACAGGATTGAAGTTGCCTGAAATCTTATTTAAAATGAAGACAGCGTTAGCTCTGTAGCTTAGTTTCTTAGCACACTTAACGTATGGTTGTACAAGCATGTGTGTTTGCAGTGGAGTTTTAAGTCACTGCACAGAATATTGCCTTTAGCAGGTGCCATGTTGTACCAAAATAGCTGTTCCTTTCTCCTAAGAAGTGCAGGCAGCCTGTCGCTAAGGAGGAAAGGGATTTCTGCAGCCGTAAAGGGTTGGTTTCTTTTAGCAGTCAGTCCTTGCAGGGTTCCTCTCTGCATCTGGGCTCCTAGTGCCCGATGCCAAGGTGTCAAGCATCTTACAGTGATTTCCTGTAATGGATGCTCTCTGCTTTTATTTATTCCAAACCACAGATCTGTACCTCTCTTGAGAAGAGCCATTAGCAGTGGGTGTGTTTTCCCTAAAGTGTATTTATACTCTTGTTTCCACGCCTGTGATATTTTTGTCCTTAAACCATGTTTGAGATTTCTTTGAGATTCAGAGCACTTTGCATATAGTTCATGGACATCTCTGTGATGCACTTTATCAGTTGGAAAATGAGATCACAGACAACGTTGCGGATAGATCATAGTTTTTCTTTCATCCTTTGATTTGGGACTTTAACCATGAGATGACCTTTATCCTTTTGCTGATAGGAAAAACTCACTGGCAGAGAAACCAAGCCATTGTAAAAGGAGCTGAACAGGAACTGTTTGAAGCATGGTGTTGGGGACAAGGAAATATCGATGCATTCCAAGGCTAGCTTTAGCAAAAAGGCTGTATTACTGTTTTATTCTGGTGCGATGTGATGTCTAGCAAAAGTTTTAGTGGCAGCATATAACTAAATGCTGATCAAGACATGGGGGGAAATCCAGATTTTTTTTTTTTTTTTTTTAAAAAGGAGGACACACAGCTGATGTAGTCAAGCTAGAAGCAGGCAAAGTTGGCTTGGGGAGGGGACATTTTAGCTTTGACGATTTCTGTTTCTATTTTAAGTATCTTACCATATATTCCAAATTTCAGAATGTGTTACTGCATGCCCCTGCAAGGGAAGACAGCTCTCTCCCCATTTTTAAAACAAGCAACTACTTTCCAGTATTTTCCAGACCTTCTTAGCAGTATTAGTACAAAGTCATGGTGCATATTGCTGGTGCCCAGCTTTTACCTACTGTTAACAAAAAAGTAAAAAAGACCCAATATTGAAGTCCTTGAACAACGAATGGCCATTATTTATATGGGACATTAAATCAATGAACTGCTGCTCTGTCTGTAAACTTCATTTTGTTTAGCACTGTGCTGAGTGGACTGTACCGGCCCACTCAGTGTGTGTTTGAAGGGCATCATTTTATGTATCGGAAAACCTGGAGCTGCTCTCTTTGACAAGGTACGTTGTTTAAGGCAGGAGTGTGCCTTGCTGTGATACTTCAGTTCATGGCAGCGAGACTTTGTGCCCTTTCTAGTAAAAGCAGAGCCTTCACTCGGTGGGCAGAGGGTTTTAGTGCTTCCATGGCCCCTGCTCTCCAGGCAGCTCCACCGCACCGGGACACTGCGTGCAAAACCTCTTCATCTGTTGTGTGTGTTGGTGTTTTATATTCTAGCCAGCAGGCAAAACTGGGAGCTGGAAGTCAAGTGAGAAGCACTTTGCTGTGAACCCCCCACTTGAATCTGGAGCACAGGCCACTTGGTGTGTTTGTGCTGAACATATTAATAACAGGCTGTAAGCGTGCGAGGCAAGGTTCAGACTGAGAATAACATTACAGGAATGTAGCATCTGTCTGACATCCCAGCTTGGACAAGTATCAAATGAGGAAAGTATGTCAGAATTTCTTTTGCTCGGCATCTCCGTGCTTTATGAAGATAAGCTACCAGAAATGTGTGCTTTTCCATAGATACAGAGGTTATAGAATAGTCCTGTAGGTTTTCTGTGGAGGGCTACGAGTGTAAGCATGTTCCCTCTGAACCACTTTAACAAACGAGTGACTTGAATTTTTAATTCTCTAGTCTGTAACATGACAAAAAAAAAAAAAAAGCAGTGATTGATTATGTGTTTAATTATGTGCTAGCTGTGATATCATGCAGTTACCAGGGGAGGCCAGAATGAATACTTGGGACAGAGCTGCCTTAGGGCACACAGCTTTTCTAACAGTTCCTGCTGTAGCCTTGCCTCTTTTATCCAGTAAGGACAGCTTCCCTTCCTTCTCTAAAACCATGGCCAGATCTTTGCTGTGCCACTGGCTGGGACCCGGCCTCTCGGCACCAGCGACCTGTCAGACGGAGTCTGTTTGTACCCACCTTGATAGCTGGCAATGGCAAACTCTTTGTTCAGTTCAATCCCCAGAGGAGATCCCCGGCAGAGCACGGACATCTGCTTGCAAGGACTCGAGTGGTCACCCCAGTTCTCGTACACCGTGTCGGAAACATGTACTGGGTGTCAGGGAGAGCAGTGTGGGCCTTTCACTTGGTGGAAATTTGACCCTACTGGTGCTAATGTGGGAATCCACCACCGCTGTAGTTCTACGTGAGTCCCTCTCTGACATGCTTGGCGTAATTCTGACTGTGCTTTCCTCTAGGAGGACTTTCGGAATAAAGTTGAAGATTACATTAAGCGCTATGCGAGATGATGAAGGGAGATGGATGGCAGGACCATGGCTTCCACACTAGAGTTGTCCTTAACTTCAACAACAACAACAACAACAAAACCAGCCCGGATTGTACTAGTCCTGTGTCCATGTTGTACCGAAGAAGAAAACTAACTTCATAACTTGTCCATGTTAAAAGGAGAGTTCAGCATAAATACAGCAAGAAATTGTGTATGTTGGTTGAAAAAGTTGTTTGCTTACTTTTAAAAATGTTTACTCTTCTGAACTGTACTGTATATCCTGTTGATGAGATATGCTTGAGAAGTTAAAAGAAATCACTATTGAAATTGTAATTACACTTTTTTTAAACTCTTGCCTAGTTTGGAGGGGGGAAGGAAAAAAAAAACAAACAAACAGTAAAGGTGGCGTGTTTTTGGAACACTTCAAGTTGGCAATAAAATGGTCTCCTGTGAACCAAATCACAATACTGTTGCCTTTGATGAGCAGAAACAATACAAGCTTTTTCCACGAGTCATTCAGCTAAGGCTTAGAGCTTGCCAGAATGCAAGTGCTAAATGAAATTCTACTTCTGATATTGCAATTCTTGATGATATTTAATGTAAGTACGTTTTTGTCACACGTTTGGAATTTTTACATTGTAATTTTCAGCTCCTGTTTGGGGTACAATTTTTTTGTTTGTTTGTTTCTATTAATTGTGTGAAGTAGTTAAATAGAGGCTAAACCATAACTTAAGTAAATGTGTAGTATTAGTAAAATTATATATATAT